TAAAAACTATGTTGTACTATAAAATTAGTAGGTAATACTACTACAGTGCTTTTTAGAACATTGCTTTCTTGAAATATTTCCCTTTCTTTTGGTAATTTGTGAGATCTGTTTGTACTTTCATTCCTTGTCTAAATCTAAGCTTACATTCTTTTTCACTTTCAGTGTTTAAATTTCTCAAAATCTTCTTATTCTGCATGTAATTCATGAAAATGGCATTACATTTATCAATAATAAATAATACTTCATAACTTCATTATGTAGTGCCACTTGCTTATCCACCATTAATATTTAATGTTTATCCACTGTTGTATTTTATTTTTCTTATTTTTGTTGGCTTATGCTTTTATGAGATATTTGCTTCTTTGCAGACTTTGGGTTAAAATTACCTTGTCATTTTCTCATAGATGCTGTGTTTAAAAACAAAACAAAGCATTACTGTTCATTACTTCTCGAGTATTTTACTACTGTGTTTAACTAGATGGAGTTCTAATAGGTCATTTAAAATACATTGCATAAAGATATGCAAAGATGTGATCAGAGTTCTAAACATTCTTTTTAAATAAACACTTGGTAAGCAGAATATTAGCTCTTTATAGGAAAAGTCTTCTTTTTTTGTACTTCTCTGAGAACAGCAAGTATTAAAGGTATATAGTGTACTTTGATACTGTTTATTTTAATGGAATAACAAAATCAGGAAAAAGTTGTTGTGTTGAAGATCAAATTAAATATTGAAAAGCACAGAACTGTACAAGATACTTTTAAAACTGCATGAACTCTTGTGAAGAATAGGAAGTACCATGCGGAAGGAAATGGACTTGTTAACTAGTGCATAACTAGAAGCTAATGCATGTATCTGGTTTTGAACTACTGTGGTTTGGATAGCCAACTGGAAGTATGAGTAAAGGAGAGACATCAATAGAATTAACAGCAGTGACAAAGTGGCCTCACAGAGATGGAACTGTATTGCTCAGACAGTCCATGGGGAGAAAATGGTAGGAGAGACTTGAAGTTCTTTAAAGGAAAATGTCAGTAATCTATTTCATATATTGCTCATAAATATAAAAATTGCATCTGTGAACAGTAGATTTTGTAGATTTTGTAGTGACAATTTTCATTGCTTCTAGATTTGCTGGTAGAGATGTTATAAATATTCATAACAATTTTACCACTCTAACCAAATGCCTTAATATATAGTATGCCAAACATATTAAATGTTTGTTTCCTTTAGGTTTTTTATATCTGGAAAACTAACGTTGATTGATATAGTGCAGAGGGTTTTATAAGAGCCCTAGTGGCTTATTTTTTATTTTAAGAACTACATTTGTTAAACAAGGCAATATTTTCTCTCAGCAATACTGCCTTTTAATTCTGGATGTTACCTATTTCTGCTCTCATGCAATGGATCGATACAAACAGGTTCTCCAAGAGCATGTCTGTGGCCTTCTCAGGGTATGAGATCTAAGCACTGCGATTGGTACAAACCAGCTCTCAAGATTATTGCTAATTCTGCATAGAAATGTTATATTTCTGGGGTAGGAATTCAGCCACATTTCTGGGGATAAACTATTTTCAAAAAGCATTAGGATTGACAGTCCCACCTCAGGGAACAACCTACAAAGTGGGAAGATAGAGCAAGGGCAGCAAAGTTTGGGCAAGAGCCATTCTGGGTGGTTTGGGACTTACTGAAGGACTATGTGGCCTGGCACTGCTTGGCACTTCTGAAAAGGAGCAGATTGATTTCCAGGCCAACAGTTGGCTGATGCGTTTGCTTCTGCACTTATCAGGGTAAGCTGCATCTGGTCTGGAATGAAATCTAGAGCCTGGCCTGCCTGACTGCAATTTCTGTTCACTTTCTGTTGAACGTCAACCACTTACCAACAACCAGAACTGGAAGAGAGAAAATCATAGGACAGAGGAGTTCCTTGCCTTCTCCTCCTTTCCCCCTGCCCAGAGGGAGCTTCTGCCTTTGCCTCCAGTGAATGCTTAGTGATGTTTTTTTAAAGCCTCTTCCACTTCTGCAGAGAGCCTTTGGGTAACACATATTTGCTGGTTTTCAACCTGAACTATAATGGTGTGACCCTTGGTGTTATTATTTCTTTAATTATTTATGCTCTCAGTTTTACTTTACCTACATTGTATCTTCTGAGTTCCCGCTTTGTTATACAAGTTTTTATTCATGAGTAGTTCCCAGAGCTTTGCAAACACCAATGTTCACAGAGCACACATTATGCATGGATCTCATAGAGGTTAAAAATATTGCTTAACTTTGCTTCCCGTAAGAGCACAGTCTACTTGAGAGCACAGTCTACATATAGCACAGTCCACTGTGCTATATGAATGCCAGCCAGAAATCATAGCAGCTTTACTGCTCCTATGAAAGGCACAAGGACATCACTGGACAATAATACCAACACATAATCCCGTGTTCTAGTATGAGTGCTGTTTCTCAGAGAAAAGCAAAACATTTGCTTTGGATGACCAAATAGCAGGTGCAATTGTAAAACCCATAATGTTAGCACAGATTATTGTCACTTTCTTTAGTATGAAGATAATGCTCCTTTACAATGCTCCTTTAGTATGTATTTTTTTGCCAATACAATAAAAGAGCTATTTATTTAAGCAGCATGCATGACTTGCTTAGTCCTTGTCTCAAGTATACTGCATACAAATGGAAATGCACTTACAATGGACACTACTTTATATTTCATAGTTCAGTTTTTTAAAAAATACATTCTTGTACAATTTACAAATGCATTGAATATTTCAGTACTTCCAGATCTGTCTTTGCAGAAAAAAAAAATCCAGCAACTAAATTGTTCCCAACTTCAAATACCAAATTATTTATCAGTGTATTAAATTTCTGATAATATCAAAAACATATATTTTCTGTGGGGAAAAATGAGTAAAGATAAGAAAGTTAGAAGTAAGAGAAGTAAAAAAGAAGGCCAGACAGTATATATATTTTTGTGTCTTTAAATAGAATTTAGCACTTTTTACTGATGTAGAACTGCTTATCGTCCGAATAAAGATTCCACACTACAGAATTACAATCTAGGAAAAGGGAAAAGTTTTAAAAAGATTTTAAACTCTGAGTTGCTTGTTCATGTTCATGGTGTTTCAACATAACATTTTTTTTTCTCAATAAAAAGCCCTTTAATCTTATTCTTACTTTTCTCACTTCCTTCTGATCAACCCCAAGACCTGTCATATGAGTTCTCCAGCAGATACTATATCCTACCAGCCACTTCTGAAGGCATCAAAGCTTAAATAGAAAAATCCAGCCTTTGCTACGCCAACTCATTTTGCTATATATTATGGCCTAATTCTGTATCTGGTAAGGAAGTATCACATCTTACACTAGTCATGAAAGCTTATTTTTTAGAATCATATGAAAGTATTTACTGCTAGACACCTATTTTGCATCTTTGTTTCTTTGTTTGCTTTCCTAAGGCTGTCTTCATCACATCACACACATTTTACTCAGACTATTTAACCTCTTTTGTATCTTAATTCATACGCTGTAATTTTTGTTATCACTTGATGCAAACGGACATAGGAAACAAATAGTTGTAAAGAGCTAAAACACTGTTTTTGTCAGCTTCTAATATTTTTAGCTTAAATATTTCTAGCATTTAGATAACTGGGAGACAAACATCTTTAAACCCTCTAGTGTTTTCATGACTCCACTAAGTTCAGTGCAAGCAGAACTGGGCTCAGTGATTCTGTCTCGTTCATCGATTGTCAAAAATTTGGAGAGACAGACTCTCAGGGTAAGGTAATTCCTAGTCAACTATTTTATTGATATGTGAGCAAAACACATGTGTTATATCCAATTCTGCCTATCTGCCACTCTCAGCTCCCAGATCTTCTTCTCTTACACAGCAGCCTGCTCTTCATGTTGTCTGATACAAGGAGTGATAGTAATCCTGATATATTTTGTCTGAACACCTCAACAGATAAGTGGAGGTCAGAACAGAATTGAGGTGATATTTTTAATGAAGACTTTTCCGTCAAACACTTATTAAAACAATGATATATTCTGAGAATTTTGTGTTGGACCTATGGTTTGACTTATATTCCCCATTCACAGACTTAGAGGGCTCACCCAAACATAAAAATAGACCCTGTAACTAGTGACTTTTTCCAGCTTTTTCCCCCTTTAAGTAAGTGCTGCAACGCAGAACAGATCCCACGTCATCTCAAGCCTGCAGAGTGCAAGGGATTAGAACTTCTCTTATGCTGCTCCTATGACAACACTTGACTTGGAACACATCCATCCCCTTCAGGAAAAGTACCATTTACCCTTCCCAGTATTGGAGAAGTTGAAGGAGTTCATATCTCCTCCTGTAGTTGCAAAATGAGTGGCTTTTAGATTCTCCTTTAAATTGCCTGCAATTACTGCTAGAGGAGAAATATCGCTCCCTCTCCTTTGCTAAGCTATGGCCAAAAGAATGTGGATACTTAAAAGTTTTCAGTAGATACCTTGGATGATAAAGCAAGCAGAATTAATTTTTGCAAGTTGTCAGTTAGAACTAACCTCACCACACTGCAGTTCCAACACCAAACTTTTAAGCTGATGTTAGATATTCCTTAAATATGCTTATGTTTAAACTGCTAATTTGATTCTGGTTAAAACAGCAGCAACAGATGTACTCGATACAAGCAGTGCATTTTTAAAGGCAACAACATATCTGTGATCATCATTTATATAGATAATAGAGCTGCACCACAAATAGCTATATATTCTTGCTACTATAAAACTATTCTTCAGTTTTCTTCTTTGATAAAAGTACAAAACAGATTCTCAATAGAAAAGTAATAAAAAAAATCTATATTACCCAAGTGGATAGTTCTTGTGTTATTGATTTAAATAAATAACAAACCCATAAATGTGAGTCCCTCTTGTCTCTTAGAATAATGAATGCATTGCAAGTTCTAGTTGTCTGAAGCTTTTATACTTTGGAGCACTGAATTAGTTTAACATATATTAAATTACTTACAGTGAATCCTCCAATTATATTACGACACAATCCTTCATTCAGACAGTTGATGCTGAGCAGCCTGCAGTAGTCAATTACTCCCTCGCAGTTCTTTCCAGTGAATCCTGGCATGCAGCTGCAAATACACCAGTGTATTTTAAAGGACTTGCATTTTGAAAGTTAATCTCATTTAATTAGATTCCATAATTCTATTAAACAATGTTCTTGCAGTAACAAAACACCTTATATGTTATTTAAAATATACACAGTATTTTTCAAGCAAATTAACAATTGGTTGAATGATTCTGGTATTCTATTTTAAAGAAAAACAGTATTATTTTTTATGACAATTTACTAGTTCTATGTGATGACAATGGAGCTCTGGCTAATTCTTCTATGGTAAAAGGAGAGGATGCTTCATGTCATCACTTGTCAGTAGTAAGAGAAAATCCTTTTCTTACAGATTTCTCCAGTGTTTAAAGAAATCCCTTACACCAAAGAAAATTTGAAATTCAAATAAATAGTAAATAAGTTTTATTCAAAAGTAGTATTGGAATACTGCAGAAAAATAAATATTTGAGTCTTTCTCAAAAATCTTACTCAAAATCCACAATAAGTAAAAGCCAGACTGCAAAAACTCTATGCCTTTTGATGGATATGTAATTTCTGGCAAATTTTCTCCTGACTGTATTTATATACGTGATTAGCATATTACACTATACAAAGGATCTTTCTGGTAACAGAAAAAGGTTAAATAGCAGAGATGGGAAATGACCGGCCGGCTGTGAAAGTCCTCATAAAGAGAAAACTAGTGATAACAGATGGGAAGTTTCTTTAGCATATTCTGAGTGTTACTCTGCCTAATGACTCATCCCAAAAGTTGAGTATAATGGAGATAATACCTCTGGTTTTCTTATGATCTTCCTCCCAGTGGGTGCAATATTCAGTTGTGTTACTTATATATTTCCCCACTTTAAAAAAATATGTCCCAGTTTCATAAGGCATGAAGCCTACCCATTTTTATGGGTAATGCCTAACTGTTTCATAAAATAGATAATTTAGTAAACCAATTTTTGGAGTTTCTTCTAGTTTTTCTATTTGCTCATTTTTTCTTAGTTTCAGTTTTGCTGTTTTGCAATAGAGAAGCCAAAGTGAAAGCGTAAAATGTGTAAATTAACAGCAGGAAAGTTGGCAGGACTGCTGTAAAAACAACAGTAAAAAAATTCTCAGAATACTTGCTCATTTTTTGTGGCTTTTTAGTGTCACAAAGAACATGGATAATAGAAGCAGATACAAAGTAAACCATCACAATTTATTGTGATGGATACCCTTGTTCCCTGCCTATTTGAATTCACCTTAAATTTTGACGTTTAAGAAAAATGCTACTATCAGATTCTTAGCACAAAGTTGTGTATGATATAAAGACTGAAAGGATGAACTTAGGATACAAGGTAGTCATACATCATAACTGAAGTGAAGAAAATTAAATTGACTGTGTGTTTCAAATGGAAAACAACTGCTTTCCAAAAGAGAAAGGGTAAATAGACAGAAGCTCAGGAGGCGAAGAATGGGACATGAGGAAAAGCAAACAAAATATTGGCAACTAAAACAAAACAAAACAAAACAATGGAGTAAAATGTTCTAATTGAGTCTTACTGGAACTTCTTTGCCCATGTGAAATAAGTTCCATTACACTCATTTAAAATGCTATGCAAAATAAAAATGGATCAGGTAGTAGAATTTTACTACATGAGATACCTGCTTTTTGTTGAGTAACTAGTCACAGTCATAATCTACATTATCTGTGAGAAAGAAACACTGCCTTCACCTAAAATGTTTAATAACCAACTCCAAGCCTCCTGAATAAAGAAATACTGTTAACGGTAGCCTACCTTTGTGCAACATGAATTCTAGAGGAAGAATTACTCACACTGTGAGAAAGTTTCCAAGATTTAATAAATTTGAGACTGTTAAATGACTGTCATCTTTTCTGACATTCTCTGTTATTCCGGTGACTACTGCAAAATATACATTTACAAAGAGAATTTTGGATTTGAAAAATAGTAAAATCTGCTGACAGTTGGTCCTATTCTGATTCTAGAAGCTATAAATTTTTAAGGAATAACAAGTGAATTGTATTTACTTCTTGGAAACTGAAAATGAACTGCAAGAGATAATTGTCTGAGCCAAACATAAAGACACTTATCCTAGCTGGTAACTCACAGATGCCCTAGAAACTATTCAAACTGGATCCAGAAATCTTCTGAGCTCTCGTGATCGCTGCTGTGCTCTCACTCATGTTCACTCTGCTTGTTACATTAGGGTAGCTTGGAAGTGCCCTCTCAAGAACTCTGTATCTTCTCTTCATTTCAACACTCTTACTTGCAAGATTGCAATTTTCACACTGAATTCCTGAATCTGGTCTTCTTGAGCAAAGGATCTGATTCATGTCTCTCAAAAAGCTTTATCTCATCTAAATTAATTCTAATTACACAGACATGAACATACTCAAAATTTACAGTTTTATAATATTTGTGAATAAACAGTAAAAAATGACTTCATTTTCAAGACTTCATAAAGATTTACAAATTTATTAACAACATTTTTTTAAAAAAAGAATGCAATCATTAAATATAACCTTTTAGGAGTGAATTTCTAAATTTCTACAATTTCTAAAACTGAGTACTGAAAATCAAGTTTGAATGCTGCCAATGAGATCCACCATTATAAAACTTTAAAAGTGTACGGTTTTAGTATCTAGTTTAAGAGTGCACTCTCTGAACAGAGAAAAGTCCTGGGGGTGATTCATCTCTCCTTTGGAAGGGTTGAATTGCCTTCCAGAGTTAATCTCCTCTTCTGTCATAAAGAAGCCTGCTGTCTAGTTTACACTAAATGTTAGGGTAAAACTACATGGGGTGAACACTATCCAATATTTTTACAGGTGCACTCTTGACTGCATTCAAAGTGTTCTTCTTGGTTGTCCCTATTCCTTCTTTTAGAACATTCTTGATGGTAAAAAAACAGGCTTATTGCCCTTCTCGTTTCTCAGACTAGCTCTTCATAGAGTTACTTGCCTATCTTGACAAATATGTATTTTACAGACCAAAGAACTATCTTCTGATGGACTGTAACACTCTGTCTGTAACACTGTGGCATTTGTTATGTGTTTGCTCTTCTAATTTCACTCAAATAGTGCTTTCAGGCTTTTTTATACTACATACCTTTTATACCATAACTTTCAATTTTCTGCTTTTTAAAATATTCTAAAATTGGAGATTGTTTACAGCACTTGAGTAATGCTCAAGCAGAACTTGCTTAAAGGCAGGCAGATGTAAGTCAAGCAAATGTGTAGAAAATACAGTGTAAGAAAATATCTATAAAGCTATTTAAAAAGAACTGAAGTCATATACCTAATGGGTCACTTCTGTTATTTGTGAAGGGATGATTTCTAATACCCCATCTTGGAATAAAGCACTTTTTGATATGCTGCCTAAAGGATCAGTTTGAGATCTACTAATGCACATTCATGAATTAGGAATGAACAGTTACCCTTTCAGAAAGATAATTCAATAAATGTATACCCTAAATGGGAGTGGTAACTGTAATTTAATGTCTCACTTGTCTCCAGAGTGTCAGGATTTATATATTTGGTCTTACAGACTTCATGAAGAAACAATTTCTAACTTCCTAAATGCTTTAAATCTTTTTTGCAGGATTTTCTTCAAGAATCTTCAAGAAGTCTTATAGAGTAGAGCACCAAAAGTATCAAAAAATTGTTAAAACAAAAGTGTATTATTTCCCGTACTGTCTCTTTCTAAAGATTTCTTTTCTTCTTGCAATCAATGACATATCATCAAGTGATCCAATGAAGTACTGAAATAATATAATGTCCTATCTTACCGGCATTCATAGTTCTGCTGCTGTTCTATACATGTTGCGTTATTTAAACAAGGCAATAGTTCACATGGATTCAATGCTCTCTCACAGAACTTGCCAGTGAATTTTGGCAGGCAGATACATGACACATCCTATAGAAGAGAAGGAAATTAGAAATAATTATTTGTTATTTCCAAGGTAATTCATAAATCAGTATTTACTTCCAGTTCTTTAGAGACCCTAAGTAAGACAGGGTCTCATCATATTAAGCTGTGTGCAAAAACATAATAAAAAACAGCTGTAGCCCCAGATAGGTTACAAATGTAATTTAAGACAAGTGGAACAGGCCTTCAGCACATATTATACCAGAGTTGAGTTTGCTAATTGGAAATACACCAGCTCTAAATTGTCTGGATTTGTGATTTCATAACTGAATCAAGAAGGAGATTTATAATCTTTTTATGTATTTTCCTCTCTATCAAACAGTAATAGTGCCTGAGGTATGTCATATTCCAAACAGTATTCAGCAGCTGGATTAGGAAAGAAAGTGCTTTGTATGCTTTTATTCCCCTTAGCTTGATGCATAGAGAACAGTGTGAATGACATCTGTCAGTTACTGTAATCTGCAATTTACACAGCAAGAACACTAAGATATTTTGCAACAAAATATGTATTAGTGCTGATACTCTCGTTCTTATTTTCTAATAACATAATACTCTATATATGCTTTTTTGATGTCAGAAAGAAGATAAAAATATATTGTGGTTTGTCCTCCCAGAGAATTCAGCAGTGTTCATAAAAGTGTTTCTTCAGATTCAGCCCAACAAGCATCACGAAGGAGGTTTAACATCTATTGAAGGATTTCTCTATGTATGAAATGATCTCCTGCATTCCTGTGTCTGCAGAAAAATCTGTGCAAAATGTTAGCATATCTACTGACTAAGAATTAAATGGAAACAGACAGATATTTAGACAGATTTTACAATTTAGAAATGTATCAGTGTGTCCAGTAAGGTAGATGTCTCTTTTTCTTTCTCTGTCTCTGTGAGAATATATCACTGATCCACTGGTATAACATAATGGAGCTTTTGAACACTTATTTCAGTATTCTGGCTCTTTTTAATCACTGCTATCTACAGTAGTCAAGCTAATGAAACAAAATCAACAATGCATTTTGAAATATTACCAGATATGGCTTTATTATCAAGGTCCTTGCTACTCTGCATAAATCTATTCTATTTTATAACAAAAACAAAGATTAAAGAGAAAAAAAATAAAAGGGAATTAAAAATAAATCCCATAAGGAAAAACAAAGATAGGAAATACCAATAACTAATAAAAAAGTCTGTGATGTACTCTGTGATGTACCACAGATTATATAAGAAGCTTTTCATTATAGAAAAAAAAAACCTGATTTCTTAACAAAGTCCAAATGCTCGAAATGTGTTTTAAGGCTTAAAATTTGGCATTTGGCTTTTTAACCATAGAAATACTAGAAACACCAGATATTCAGGCAATAGTGTATTTATGTACGAATCATGAAAAGCTAATTTTAAAAGCTAACATTAGAATTAAATGATTTGGCATTATGTTCAAATATGGAGCTTTGAAGCTTGTACTTACGTTTGGCAAATCAATACATGTACCTCTGTTCTGACATGGTTTTGAAGAACATTCATTGATATCAACTTCACAGTTATGACCAAGAAAACCAGCTGGACAATCACAAACATATCCAGATTCATTATATTGGCATATGCCCCCGTTCAGGCACGTCTCAGAAGCACAAGGATCAGTGAGTTCTTCACAAAAAGGGCCTAAAGGAATAAACAGAAAATAAGGGGCATTTGAGTAAAGGATACTTCCTGGAACATTGCAAAGAAAATTACCTTGTCATTTTGGTTTGTTTTGCCTTTAATTTTAATTAATTCTGTTTTTAATTAATATATATATATAGAGAGATTTTTTTTCAAAAACTGCCTAGACTGTAGTACTCCAGTTACTAATCATCTAAAAAGTGAAGAACACAACATTTTCTTTTTTTTTTTTTTGAATACATATGGCATCTGTATGTGTGAATGAATAGACTCATCTGTAGCAAGAAGAGAAAGAGAGAAATTAAAGCAATGTCCTAAAAAATAAGAGTCACTAAATATCTTTTTCACTGTGTTTTCTGTTATGGGAAGCCAAGTCCAGTGGACTTCCATAACCCACAGATTCTTCCCATTCCCATTTATAGCTCGAGCTGGTAGTAGGGCAGAGTGACGTATATATACTTTCTCAGGCCTGTGAACGTATATATACAGATACACAGACACATGCACAGTACAGACACAGTGGACACATGGATCAGCAGGGAACAGTGTCTTTCATAGTACTGCTTAAACACAAGCATCACTCCTGTGAACATGAGTGGTACAGACCACCTGAGACATCAGGAGAGCTTGCACACCCCCTTGCTCTCCATATGCACAGCCAAACACAATATTCATGGATCCCTCAAGTATTTGCACAGGTTCTAATATCCATGACCATAACCTGAGCATCTTGCCCAGTTGCTAACTCAGATCTTGGATCTTCTCAGATTTAGGTCTCCTCTTACTTGCTGAAGTCTGCTATTGAAGCAGCTTCCTCCCACCACACACACAGTCATACATAACATAGTTAAGAAAACCATTCTGCAGACACTGCAGGGATCACACACAGGACTTGGACAAGTATACTGACCAGCACTCTGCTTACACTCCATCAACACCTTTTATCTCTTCTTCCCATGTCATTCTTCACATGTCTGTTCTTCCCCCACACACCTTGGGCATGACCTCTGCCTCTGCCTCCTCCTAAAAAATAGCCTTTATCTGATTTTCTTTACCCCAATTTTGCCACATTCATATCCAAATTCATATTTCTGATATGGTAGCCTAGATATTCTTGGTTTAATATGGTATTACTGAAATGTTGACCCTGCAAGTTAAGATCAGCTAACTACTTGAGAGTATTAACTATTTTTAAAATTCACAACATCAAAGACACAACAAAAATATAGAAGAAGAATCCAGTTCCATTTACTTCGGGAAAATTATATGCCATGTATGTTTTTTCATATGCTATACTTTGGCATTCTGCTATGAACGAACTCAGATTTAAGCTATCTACCTACCTACCATACATTTGCATATTACATTAGGAGTATTTTCAATTATTTGGTGTAGGAATAAAAATAAGTTCATAATCTGTTCTGAAATAGTGCATATGAATTCCATATTTTGTCAAGTGATCACTTGAACCAACTATTAGAAATAGTTCATAAAACAATACATAGCTATTCACATATACAAAATATACATAATATAATAAATAGATAAAATATGAAAAAAGATGTATAGTCTTCAGATGGCAAAGTTTCTAGCTCAAATTCTTAGACTATGAGGTGAATGTAGCTAAATTGTTCTAAACAAACTTGCAGGCAAGATCTCTAATCATTTTATTGCAAACACATACTAACTACAGTAAAGCAACTTTAAGTATGTGGAGTAACATTTCCCAGGAGATCAAAATATCTCAGTCTCTGCTATATATAAAAATAGCTGATGCAGTCAACACTTTCCAAGAAAATCGTATAAAAAAAAAAAACAAAAGAAAACCCCACTTTTATCTATTTATCACTCATTTTCATCTTCACTGGAAACAGTTGTTTCAGTAAGGTAAAATGAACGGGGCTTTTAGGACATAATGTTCACTTTTCTTCAGCAGCAGAGGATGTTCAAAGAATGCTTTCTGAATTTGTTACTGCCCCTATCACCATAGTAACAAAAAGTATATTGCAACTTGCAGATTTTAGGCCATGTTAATAAGAGAAAGCAAGATATTCCTCAGATTGAAGACATTGATTAGTATTAGCACATATATAAGGCAATACTTGCAACACCAGATGAAGGTGACTGATCAATTATTTTTCATTACTTTGTTTTAGTATTTAGGAGCATGTTATCTTCTAAGCAATGAACAACACAGTTGGAAAAAAATATCATTTGCTTGCTAATGCATATTGAAAATATTTGTAAAGATTCTGGAGGTCCAGGACCTTAAAAGAGTGCAAAGCAAATTGCTTAGACTGAAATTGCATCAGATGCATAGATCCGATGCATAACCCTCCATTTGGCATAGCATTTAACATAGGCGTTGTATATTTCTTCTGACAACAATTTTAACAGAACATGAAAGTATTTATTCCCCCTGTCAGATCCTGAAAATAATTAATTCCCTTTAGATCTAGATGATATATAAAAGCTATGAATAGAGCTTTTATATTCTCAATATTCTCAATATTTTTTTTGTAAAATGAATGCTCATAGTGAGTGATCATAATCTAATGCGAGACAACTGATTGAAGAAGTTTTAAGATGAAAAAAGTAGTTATCTGCTTGATTGAATTCCTGATTAAAGAGTAAAATACAAGAAATTAAAGACATTATCAGTAGACTGGGTTCATCATGGTCTTTCAATACAAGGAATACTTCTATAATTTATTTCAATAAAATAAAAATCAAAAAAGGTCAAGAAAGCAGGACAAAGTGAGCAAAGAAGAGTATCCTATTGACCTATGTAGAAGTTCATGAATTTTAATTTAAATAACTGAATCTTATTCTCAGAATTTTCCACTGATTTTATATTTGAAGAGAGTGAACCCCTCCATTAACCTCCTGTAAAAACAGGCCAAACCAAAAAAAAAAAAAAAACAACCCTCTTCCTTGTTTTACATTTTACTGTATCCTTGCTAGATGTGATTAGTTTGACTACCATATCTTAAGAACAATAAATTAAAAGAAATTAATGACAAATTTAATAGATATTACTACATTGGTTAAGAAACCACATAGTGCCATTTACATAAATATCCAGGGTTACGAAATAAAATAAAAATATTTTTATTTTTAATGGAAATCTCCTTGGAGTTTTCTATTATTTTTCCTTTTTCTTCTCTGCTGACTTGAGTATTTCCCTAAAAGGAAAATGTGTGAGGGATTGCCTTAACCTACTATCTTTAATATGATTTCAATACATTTATGAATGGAATGAAGAGAAAATTGATATTTTGAATGTTAAAGAAGTTAATATTTTAATAATTTCACACTGAAATTGTAGAAACCTGCCTCTTATGTAATTACTAATGCTTAATAACACTCTTGTCTACTTAAAAGCTAATTAAAAAATAAGGCACTCTCTGTCTGAGGATTGTCAAACTTCACATGAGCAAGACTTCGGTTGATCAAGTAAAAGTATTTCTGTGTTTAAACGGAACCCTGTTTGCATGGCATAGTTAACAATTCACTGTGATCAGTCTTATCCCATTCACTTCCTGATATTATTTTCCTGAATTTCACCTGATGTCCTTCTACTCTCCATGTAAATACTTCCTATTGAATTAGAGAGTAATGTACCACCTCCCCCAGATACACACTGAAATTATAGGCTGGCACCCAATTTTCAGTAAAATTGCTTACTTCCTGCTTCCCTTTCCTACAACAAACTGCATTGGGGAAATAATCTGTCTGGAATATGCCAATTTTATTTCTGCTGAGTTGCTTTTCAGACAGTTTTGTTCTCTATTCAGATTAGAGCTCAGTTCAGGAGCTATGCTGACAGAGCATGGAGCTGCTGAGTTTGAGAGTTAATATGTAACCATTTAAATAAGCAGCTGCATGGCTCTGGCCAATTGTGAAATTTCAGTTTTCTTAAAAGACATAACAAGTCACGTGGCCTTAGCAAGGGATATGACAACCCCATGCTGAGAGCCTAGATGAATGGGTTGAGCTCTGGGCTGCCATCGCAGAGACAGAGTCAGTGGAATTTTAAGCCCTAATCACTCACCATGGTGTGTCCTCCCCTCACCCCATATTAAGTCAGGTCAGGAGGTCTCTGCAACTGACAGTTTCAACCATAGCTCAATTAAATATAACAGCTGTCAAGACACACTGCTTAGATGTAAGCAAAGGCATCCAAATTCTTAATCTGGTGTCTTAACTAGAAACTGAATTCTATCCATGGAGACTGGGTTACATATTTTGTGTGGTTAAATTTAAAACTGCTTTTAAAAACAAAGCAGTTGTCAGTAAGTAATATTTGGCCTTTAAAGCAAAATATAATATTTCAAACTATTAAATTTCTAGAAAAGTTGTGCATATTCAAACTTCTGCTTTTTGATAAGCTCTTTTGAAAAATATACTGCTTTTGTGACTAAATTAGAAAGATTACTTTTTTAGCATGGAAACTTTTTGTTGAGAACTTTTTTTTTTAATATAAAATTCTTTTTTTGGAGAGTCTCCAGGAGATAACATTTTCCTTTTTTCCCCATGTAGAATATATCAGGATATTTTTATCAACACTCTCATCAATTTATTTAAAAAATGTATTCATTTACAAAATAACTTCTTTAAGCACAAAACTGAGATGATTAATTTTTAGCAATTTCCTTTGTAGAGAGAATTTAATTTTTCCATTTAAGAACTGCACTGAATCACAAGCTCTTGCTTCATAGTTCCTGATCCTGAAATAGACCAATGCTTCAGTTGACATATTAAAAGAATTAATATTTGAAATATGAATACAGCATTAGCCACTTCATATAGATTTCTTACCAAATACAATGAATGATGCCTTTTTACTGCATGAAAAGTTTCAATAAAGTTTGAATCAGAACGAAATCTATTTAAAGCAATATAAATCTAGGTATCAGAAGAGAGAGAGTGCAAATCTCCATGAAAAATTGTAAGGGGAAGAATCTTAAGTTTAGACCAAACAGACAGTTTCAGAGCTC